AAGATAAAATTTAGATATGTCCTTTTACTTTTCCTGTAAGATTTACTGAGAAAGTTTTTCAGAAGAATAAGAACAATTTCTTCTCTTTTGTTTGGAAATAAATAAAATAAATAAATAACCAATAAAGAAGGTCTTAAAGTCGGGCGGGGCCGACTTTATGATACCCTACACTACTTTGCTAATTTAGTAGTTTTTATGGGAGAATTTAATCATACATGCTATGATTATAATTATTATTTAAAGTTCAAAGGACTAAAAATGCCGAAGCACTTGTATCTTTTAAATTCGGACTTGTATTGCCCATTTGGTGCCCAATTAATTTGAAATCGGATAAAGATAGATATGGGAGCTATATCCAAATCTGAACCGATTTCGATAGAATTTGGCAAAGATATTTCTGAGCTGTATTTGATATATTTCCCTGAATATCGTTGTTACGGAGTGCATATTACGGCTATGGGTAACAAATATAACAAATCGGATGAATAATATATATGGGAGCTATAGCTATATCTGAACCGATCTTCACCAAATTTGACATACTAGCTTCTATACACAATTCGGTGAAATGTGCCAAATTCCATCCCATTTGGACAAATGTTAGACGTTTGGTGCACATAAAAGAAATCGGACGAAGTTATATATGGGAGCTACATCCAAATCTGAACCGATCTCGAAAAAATTTAGTAAAGGTGTTTCTGAGCTGCATTTGATATATTTCCCCAAATTAGTGTTGTTACAGAGTGCAAAAATACAGAGGACAAAAATAACAAATCAGATGAACAATACATATATATATAGGAGCTATAGCTATATCTGAACCGATTTCGATCAAATTTGGCATACTTATTTCCCGGTCTAATTTGGTTGTATGTGCAAAATTCCATACTATTCCATACCCTTTTAGGGGGTGAATTGTTTTATTTTCGCACTTAGGCTAATTTTTATACAAGTCGTTCACGTTTGTTATTTTTCAAATTTTTTATAATTTGCGGTGGAGGTGCCAGAAAGATTGAACGATATATTCTATTTTCACACCGCATATGTGATAGTATTGGTCAACGGTTAAATGCGTTCAAGAGTCCTGAAACGGATTTCGTCCTGAGCTAATACCATTATTTTAATTAGTCAAATTTTTGGCCTAATATTGCTCAAGAAAAATATTGTTAATATCTTTATGATATTGCCAAAATGAAGCGCAGTTCCAAAATGAGTTTGTCAGATTTTTGATTTTTTACCTAAATACGAAATTTTAAAATGACATTTGAAATTATGTTTTTCTCTCGAATTTGTTACACAAAAATAGGCGCTCAAAATTTATCACAATTATACAGACCTCGATATTTCAGGCAAAACGCCAATATTTTACTTAACCGATTTTAATAATAATGGGATTCTATAGTAAAAATACAACATTGTGGTAGTCAGAAATAGGTCAACAGATGACCTGCCTATCAGATGATATTTCAGTACTTTTGCCGCATTTCTAAACTCAAATGGCTATTTGTTATTATTTTGGGTCCCAAAGGAGTAGTAATGTAGATCCATATTTTAAATAAGCCCCTGTAACACGTTAGCTATTTATTTGAGACAATTTATTCGGTTTGTCTTAACTAACCGGATTTGGTTAAGTTTCCCTCAATGTTTAAATTACTCTCCCTGTTTAAATTTAAGTTACGTTTTATAGCCGCACCTAAAATCCCAATACTGATCAATATTCAGCAGCTCAAAATTCGATGAATTACATGGTTGTCTCACAAGCATCAATGTGAAAATATCAAGTTATACACTCAATTACCCCAACGTTGTTATACCCTCCACCATAGTGTAGGGGGTATATGAAGTTTGTCATTCCGTTTGTAACACCTCGAAATATACATTTTCGACCACCACATCAGCATAAAATGCTATGCCGATTTAACGATGTCCGTCCGTCTGTCCGTATGTTCGTCTGTGGAAATCACTATAACTTCCGAACGAATTGAAGTTAGTTGATGAGATTTTACTCAGAACTTTAGGCATTGAAAATGGGCTATATATGTTTAGGTATAGCCGCCATATAACGGTACCTCCCTATATTTGGTATTGACATTATTCACCGTAATTGTTTCAAATTTGGTATTTAAAGTTCGAAATGGATACTTCAGCCTAGAACAGAAAATTGTCTTTGCAGGTCCACGTCTTCGTATAGCCCTCCCCTATAACGGTACCTACCAATATTCGGTATTTTTATGATTTCAGCAATATTATTTACCGGAATGGTTTCAATTTTGGTAATAAAAGTTCGTAATGGCTACTACAGCCTATGACAGAAAATTATATATGAAGGTCCAGATCTTCTTATAGCTTCCATATATCGGTACCTCCTTATATTCAGTATTTTGCTGATTTCAGCGACATTATTCACCGGAATTGTTCAAATTTCATATTTGAAGATCCAGGAAATTAGCTATGCAGTTCCAGGTCCTCGTATAGTCTCCATATATCGGCACCCCCCTATATTCGGTATTTTGCAGAGTTTAGGGACATTGATTGCCGGAATGGTTTCAAATTTCGTATTCAAAGCTCCTAAATGGAAAATTGGCTATGCAGGTCTAGGTCTTCGTATAGCCCCCATATAACGGTTACTCCCTATATTTGGTATTCTAATAATGTTAGCGACATTATGGAGCGGAATTGTTTCATACTTCGCATTTGAAGTTTCTGTAGTACCCAGCCTGTGACACGTCTTCGTATAGTCCCCATGTAACCGTATCTCCCCATATTCGGTATTTTGATGATTTTATTGACATTATTTACTCGAATTGTTTCAAAATTCATATTTGATGTTCCAAATAGGTACAATAAATTGTATATGGAGATCAAGGTCTTCGTAAAGTACCCATATAACAGTACCTCCCTATATTCGGTATTTTAATGATTTTTGCGACATTATTTACCAGAATTGTTTCAAGTTTCGTATTTTTAATATTGTACTGGCCTATGACAAAAAAATGCCTATGTAGGTCTTAGAAAAGACCCGACCGATCCCAATACTTCATATATTCGGTATTTTTAACATTTAAACAGAACTTTCAATGTATTTTATTTTTTTTTTGAAAAATTCTAAATTTGTTTGAAATGGTGGACGGTATTGAAATACATTGACCAATACTTGTAAACTATGTAATATGTTTCCGATTCTGATCAAACCTAGCACATGTCAATCATTTGTGCTATGTGAATTCAAGTGTAAAATTCGAATATGTTTGCTCACTCTTTCTGCTACAGGAAATATGACTAAAACAGCAAAAAATCGGTACACATATATGGGAGCTATATGCAGATGTGGACCTATATGGCCCATTTTCAATACCAAAACTTCTAAAGACCTAAAATGCATATCAACAAAATTTAATCAACTTACTTTATTTCGTTCGGAAGCTAGAGTGATATCCAGAGACGGACAGACATGACTAAATGACATAAAATCGTATGCTTTGTGGGGCCTTAAATGCCTATTTCGAGGAGTGATGTGCTAACAAACTAAATTTAACCTCCATACCATGGTGAAGGTTATATTCCCCAGTTCTCTATAAAGTTCGCACATTGCCATATTCTTAATAACATTACATATAATATAAATTTGGAACATGTAGTCTCCCAAAAAGTATACAAATGGTCAAATGCTGAGGCCAAATGTCTGTCGAAAAACTATGACATTTGAGTTAAATCTAATTTTCCATTAAACCGCCAATATTTTTAATCCCGGCGAAATCACAAATAGACGAACAGGTCAATCCTGACCGTTACGTAGATGCCGATAGTAAATATTTCGGGTACATATAGCAAAATATATACAATGGAATAAAAAGATAAAATCTGAAAAACCGCGTAAAAAGACGCCTATAATGATGTTAATATAGTTTTTAAGTATTTTGTGACATATTTTTATTTTTTCATATTTTTTATCGCATGCGATTTTTCAATTTGACTTATAATATTAAAGTGTATATTTTGTAATATTTTTTCACCTTACAACACAGGTTGGGGATATTGTATATATATATATATTGCAATTATCGTGAGATCCTCACGAAAAGGGTAGGGTTAGGCTTAGAATGGCTAGGCCTATTGTTTTCAAAGATGTCCGCAGTATATTTCGGGGTTGAAATTGACCAACAAAACATGTTCCTGATTTTGCAGCCGTTATGATACAAATAGAGACCAAACGATACAAAATCTCGCATGAAGTTAGAGTTAAGGACTCTGGATAGAATGGACCAGTACTTTGAGTAAATAATACCAGCATTACTTACAGGCGATATCTGACGATAGTCAAATATCGTAGACAAGAAAATCATATAGATAAGTCTAAATTTGGAGATTCAGAGGGGCCTCTTGCTTTTGGAAATGTTTCAAAGGACCCAAAGACAGAAAAAAATCCTGATACACAATTGAAGCCTGGGAAGAGCGATAAGGACAGGGAAGAATTCTAGCATTTTTGCACAACAACTAACAACACGACATAGTTCGTAAATATTGGGCAAATGTCCCTATTCAAAATGCTAAGGGTAATATCTGCGTGAAATGGTTTCAAAAGCGAAATCTTCCAAAATAGATTAGGACATAAGAGGGCTTCTAACATGTTGTAGTGTTGTAGGGTATAACATGGTCGGCCTCGCACGGCTATAGCCTTTGCTTACTTGTTTTTTTTTTTTAATTTTCTCCTCAGCTGCTTATCTTCTTCGAAAATTATGGAAGAAATGTTGTTTTTTTTCTATTTAAGAATTATGAACAACTCTCGTTGGTTATAAATGATTGCCTGCCGGTATGGCTGGCTGACTGCCTAAGTGTCTGGGTGCTTTATTCCTCCTTATCTTTATCGCTTTAAAGCAGTTTAGAACAATGCCCTCTTCTGACTTGGTGAGGGTTTCTCTGGTGTCTTTTCACTTTCTAATGGTGTAAAGTAACAGATATGTGAATGTATGCGTGTGTGTGAGTTTTTCAATTTTGTTTACCTTTTTTTTTTTGATCTTTTTTGCTGTTGTGCTCTTTGATGTTCTTTTGAGCGCTAATTAAAAGCTTCAAGCCTGGCTAATTGTGGTGGCATGTAAATATGTCGTTTTGTTCTTCGTTGCAACTGCCACCACCACTTGGTTGGGGTTCTCGTCTTGGAATGAAGTTGTAGCGTCTTTTGGAATGTTGCAATCTCGTCGTGTTGAATGTTAACAAGGTCTGTTGCTGTTCTAACACTGCGTTAGGATTTTTTGTTTGTTTTTATTTTTTATTTATTATTTTTTTTTTTAATTCTTTTGTATTTATTTGTTAAAGACAAACACCGTGTACGTGCCAAGGGATTTAAGTTTGAACTTTGCGCGCGCCTTGAGTATCACGTGCAGAACTATAACAATGAGAGGTTTGTTTCTTTTTTTCTAAGGAAGCGAGAGGAGGAAGGGAAGCAGAAGCGTGTTTAGGAGAAGTTTTTGGTTTTTATCTGCCATAAACTTAACACTTTTTGTCGGAAATATTTATTGCCAAAACGCACACAATTATTCTACCCCAAAATAACTAAACGAAACTTACAACACCATCACGTGTCACGCCGCGGGGTATCATTTAAAACTGAGATTTATTTTACATTATTTACAATTTTCATTATCACTGAGATGGAAATTCTGAAAATATATTCTCTCCTTTGTTTGGCAAATATCTCCAACCAATTTTTTTTTTTAATACCAACTAAGCAATGCAATTTCGTTTTATTTATTTACAAATTTTATTGGCTCATTCTCTCTCAAAAACAACCACTAGATTTTTGCAAAATCAGCGTTTTCAAATTATTTTTTCAATTTCAAATTTTCTTTTTTCTCGCGAATAGTTTTATAATTTTTTTTTTTTTTGTTTACACTTCAAATTGCCAGCAATGTGTTAACTGTTGTATTTTATGGTCTCCTCGAGAGAGAATTTCCATTTCAATATTTTGTTGTGATTTCAAAAAATAACTACTTTCTTCTTTATGTTTTTTCAATTATTTATTTTAAAATCGCATTAGATTTTCCGCATTGACAACCGTTTCATTGTCGCGTTTGTTAAGAACTGTTCAGTCGCTGATTAGTTGTTCTTGAGGACGGACACTTTTCTTTCACTTTTGTGTTACCCGGTGTTATCGTTGTTGAGGTGTGTCTGTGTATGTGTGTTCCGATATGGCTGTGTTTTGCCTGCTGCCTTCTCCATTGATAACCGTCAATTGAGGGGTAATCAAAATGGGAGTCCACAAAATGAATGGCATTAGAAAATGAATTTGTGGATCGTATCTTTTGTGGAAATTGTAACGAATATTTTGAGGATTTGAAAATTTTATGAATTTTCTTTTATATTCAAATAATAAATGCCCTACTTCGTGTGTGGGGAAAATGGAATTTATATTAAGTGAATTTATGATTAATTTTTACCCCCTATATATAGAATTTAATATAAGACCACGATTTTTATAGCCTCAGTATATGGTATATATCATTTGATACGGCCAAAGGTGTCAAATCGAAATAACGGTTTCAGACCTTAGTTCTCTTTGGACCAAATCCGTTCAGGACATTTGAAGTCGATCAGGGGGTGTCCGTCTGTTCGTCCGTCTGTCTGGTTGGTGCCCAAAATTACTCTCGAGGGGAGTATCCGATTTGGTAGAAACTTGGCACATCGTAATATTATTATCAAACTTAGATCGAGTTCGGAAATAAGCAATATCGGTCCTCTGCTTCTAGTACCTCCCAGACACAAGGTCGAAATTTTCAATAACAAGAAAAAAAAAAACAAAAAAAAATTAATTGCACAGAAAGAGAAAGGGTAATCCGATTTTGCTCCAATTTTGCAAATCCTAATATTTGCAAGTCAGGTTTCAAAATTTACAATATCGGTCCTCTCCATTAAGTACCTCCGCTACAAAGAATCAAAATTTGGTATAATTACAACTCTTATAAAATGTGATGTAAGAGTCCGATTGCCTTCAAATTGCACTCATCACAATATCCTTATTAACTCAATGTGAGGTGTGAATATCGAATGTATCGGACCACTCTTTCTGGTACCTCCCCCACAAATGGCAAAAATTTTGAATAACCATGACGCTCCTAAAACGCGAAATTAACATCCGATCCTATTTAAACTTGATACATCTCAATATTTCCATCAACACAAGATCTGCTATAAATATGGTAGAAATGGGACCATTTCTTCTGGTTCTTCCCCCACAAAGGATCAAAGTTTCCAATATCCATGAAGCTCAAAAACGCGAGATCGGACAATTTATTTTCTTCAAGCTTTTCACATCTCTAAATTTTTCCCAACTAAAGATCTTTTATAAAGATGAAATAAATCGGTCAATTCCTTCAGGTATGGTCTTTTACCAACGCAAGAAATAGTATCAAGGACTGATAGAACATGTCACTCCTTCTTCTACCTCCGCCACAACGGGTCAGCATTTTGAACGACCATGCTGCTCATAAAAGTCGAAATGAGCATCAAAATCTTTCCAAATGTGGCTCATCCTAAGACGTCTATCAAACCAGGATCTAGCATGGAAATGGGATATATCCACCTACTCCTTCTGCTACCTCCTTTACAAAGGGTCAAAATTTTGAATAATTATATCTCTCAGAAAATTCGAAATAAGCACCATCTTCAAGTTTCACACTTTCCAATTTTTTTTAATAAAATTTTGTGTTGTAAGGACGGGATATATCGGTCCACTCATTTTGGCACCTCCACCACAAAGGGCCAAAATTTCGAACATTTATGACTATCAAAAAATTCGAAATAAGCATAGGATTCTTTCAAAACTTCGCATATGCCAATATTTTTCGTATCTTGCGAAACATGTCAGCGATTATTCCAAAACCTGGTATATCCGAATATCTCTCTGATCTCTCTGATTTGGGATAAAAAAAACTGCAACAAGGACAAATAATTTTCATATTTCTTTTTTTAAAATTTTATTGAATGAAACAAAAAATGTCGGAAATAGCATCAAATTTTAGAATAAGTTCGGATTATGGCATTCAAACGGCCAATAAAATCGTCACACGCTGTTGCTCTGCGGTTTTTGGCCCACTCCCGGCGAAGCGCTTGTTTGAGGTGATCGACACTTTGGTATTTTTTAGTGCCAACCTTGTTTTCCAAAGTACTCCAGACACAATAGTCCAACGGATTGGTATATTTCAGTTGCTGTATAAGTTCGTGCACTTTTTGGAATTTCAATGGCTTTACCCCGAGCTCATTTTTAATATTGCGATAATTTCAGCTAACGACCCATTTTTCGACCACTGTGACGCGGGTTTCGATCAAGGCGCATCTTTACTTTTCGAGGCATTTGTGCTGATGTTGCTGTTTTCCGTCCACTTCCTTGACGTCGGTCGGGCTACGCGGTAACGAGCGATGATACGAGACACAAAAGATTTATTCTCATTTAAATGCTGGAGTTCTCTAACGATAGCCACTTGTATTTTTCCAGCCAAATATAAAGAAATCACACTATCACGCTTGAATTCCATCACGAATAACTTTTTTTGTCGAAAATTCTCACCAAAATGCTTTTGTACGCTTGTAAACAATAAAATAATTTTAACAGCTGTCGGACGGGTGGGTTCACAATGACAGCAGTCTGCAGTTGGTTGCATTTTTGTCATCTCACCATGTACACTTTATTTAGGCATTTTTATTGTGACGGTAGGCCTGTAAAATTTTCTGTAGCCCATTCATTATAGAATCCTTCAAAACTCTTCTATTTTTGCATAAAAGTGACATTTTAAATGTTATTTTACGGAATCTGGAGTTTCCCTCTTTTTAGAAGAGATATGTTCTCTATACAACATCTGTAACAAATAACCGCAAGTTTTTTTTTTTTTTTTTTTTTAACACTAAAAAACACACTTGACTTTGCCAAATAATACACACAACGCGTACTGCGTTGTTTCATTAACAAGAAGTGCAATTGCATGGACATAAAATGGCTTCAAGCAAAATTTCAAGAAGCACGTGTGTTATTTTTTGTGGCATGTTTTTAAACATTTCCCCTATTTTATGTTCATTTTTTCGGCCAACAGCCGAGTGAACTGTGTGGCGGGACATGCGCAGTATATGTGGATTCCATTTTAGGCAACAAATGGGAATTTGAAATAAATGCTAGCGATTTGTCTTGCTAAAAGGCATATAAAAGCTTTTAAAAATCTGCACCAGCAAATATTGGATTTTAAATCAAACTTTGACTTTATAAAACCATGATCACAAATAATAGTTAAAAAAGCCGAAATGTCAATATTAAAGGAGTTATGGCCATTTTAAATTTCTCAATAATTCATGCCTAAAAAAGTGATCACAAATAATGGCCAAAAACGCCGAAATGTCAATATTTAAGGAGTTATGGCCATTTTAAAGTTCTCAATAATTCATGCCTAAAAAAGTGATCACAAATAATAGCTAAAAACGCCGAAATGTCAATTTTTAAGGAGTTATGGCCATTTTAAAGTTCTCAATAATTCATGCCTAAAAAAGTGATCACAAATAATAGCTAAAAACGCCGAAATGTCAATATTTAAGGAGTTATGGCCATTTTAAAGTTCTCAATAATTCATGCCTAAAAAAGTGATCACAAATAATAGCTAAAAACGCCGAAATGTCAATATTAAAAGTGTTATGGCCATTTTAAAGTTTGCACTTATTCATGCCTAAAAAAACGTGATCACAAAAAATAGCAAAAAACGCCGAAATGTCAATATTTAAGGAGTTACGGCCATTTTAAAGTTCTCAATAATTCATGGCTAAAAAAGTGATCACAAATAATAGCTAAAAACGCCAAAATGTCAATATTAAAGGTGTTATGGCCATTTTAAAGTTTGCACTTATTCATGCCTAAAAAAACGTGATCACAAAAAATAGCAAAAAACGCCGAAATGTCAATATTTAAGGAGTTACGGCCATTTTAAAGTTCTCAATAATTCATGCCTAAAAAAGTGATCACAAATAATAGCTAAAAACGCCGAAATGTCAATATTAAAAGTGTTATGGCCATTTTAAAGTTTGCACTTATTCATGCCTAAAAAAACGTGATCACAAAAAATAGCAAAAAACGCCGAAATGTCAATATTTAAGGAGTTACGGCCATTTTAAAGTTCTCAATAATTCATGGCTAAAAAAGTGATCACAAATAATAGCTAAAAACGCCAAAATGTCAATATTAAAAGTGTTATGGCCATTTTAAAGTTTGCACTTATTCATGCCTAAAAAAACGTGATCACAAAAAATAGCAAAAAACGCCGAAATGTCAATATTTAAGGAGTTACGGCCATTTTAAAGTTCTCAATAATTCATGCCTAAAAAAGTGATCACAAATAATAGCTAAAAACGCCGAAATGTCAATATTAAAAGTGTTATGGCCATTTTAAAGTTTGCACTTATTCATGCCTAAAAAAACGTGATCACAAAAAATAGCAAAAAACGCCGAAATGTCAATATTTAAGGAGTTACGGCCATTTTAAAGTTCTCAATAATTCATGGCTAAAAAAGTGATCACAAATAATAGCTAAAAACGCCAAAATGTCAATATTAAAGGTGTTATGGCCATTTTAAAGTTTGCACTTATTCATGCCTAAAAAAACGTGATCACAAAAAATAGCAAAAAACGCCGAAATGTCAATATTTAAGGAGTTACGGCCATTTTAAAGTTTTCACTAATTCATGCCTAAAAAAGTGATCACAAATAATAGCTAACAACGCCGAAATGTCAATATTAAAGGTGTTATGGCCATTTTAAAGTTTGCACTTATTCATGCCTAAAAAAACGTGATCACAAAAAATAGCAAAAAACGCCGAAATGTCAATATTTAAGGAGTTACGGCCATTTTAAAGTTTTCACTAATTCATGCCTAAAAAAGTGATCACAGATAATAGCTAAAAACGCCGAAATGTCAATATTAAAGGAGTTATGGCCATTTTAAAGTTCTCAATAATTCATGCCTAAAAAAGTGATCACAAATAATAGATAAAAACGCCGAAATGTCAATATTAAAGGAGTTATGGCCATTTTAAAGTTCTCAATAATTCATGC